GTTCAAAACATTTCGTGAATGAACATTAACTTTTCTGTTGAAAGCTGATGTTTGAGTTTAGTGATGTTGTTGGTGTTTTAACTTGTATTATGAACTCACCTTTAGTGATTTGAGTAGATGGATGATGAAGAAAAGGAGTTTCCAAGTCAAGAACACTTGGGAGATACTTGAGGATTCGAAGATCTAACAACAAGTATGATGATATTTGTGTAAGGAATCCATGATTTGAGTGAAAGGATGAAAGATAACCAAATGTAGGATGAGGTTACTTACCAAACTTGGAGGGAAAATCTCAAGAGTAGCCTTCAATTTCGAGTTTTTAGAGAGAGAAAGTGAGAGAGAAATGGGTTTGATTCTTCTTGAGAAAGAGTGTATAATATTGGAAGTGAAGTGAAGATTTCCAGCCATTTGATCTGATTATGGGCTGGTGAAATAGTGTGAAAGGACAACTAGTTGACTAAGTATGGATGAATAGTGATTGAGTATGGCCCTGGAGTGGGTGTGGTGGGTTGCTTGTGTCATAACTTTAAGGTAAAGTCAACACTCCACCTCAATATCTTACCCACTAGATTTTATTTCTAAATAAAGATTTCCCTAAAAATGTGTTTAAATTATGAGTATTTAGGGTCTTATATGTCAAAATATGATTTTTGGTGAAAATCCCACGTCAAAATCATGAAAAACGGGCTTAAAATGCGAAAGTGGTCGAAAACCGCGAAAAATGACAAAATCTGCGAAATTTCGGAATTGGGAGGCGAAGGTTCGGTCCTTGGGAGTCAAGAACCGAAGGTGGGTTCAGTTGTGGAAGAGAACCGAAAGGTAGTTCGGTCCGGGGAATAGGGGTGTAAGTGAGCCGAGCTACTCGTGAGCTACTCGGGATCGACTCGTTAAAAGCTCGACTCGAGATCGAATTAAACGAGCCCGAGCCGAGCTCGAGCCTAAATATAAGGCTCGTTTATTAAATGAGCTCGAGCCGAGCTTCAATTAATGGGCTCGTGAGCCTAAATGAGCTTAAACGAGCCTCTCTCTCTCTCTCTCTATATATATATATATACACACACACACACACACATACATACATACACACACACAGATATATATATATATATATATATATATATATATATATATATATATATATATATATGCACACACACATAGAGGCTCGTTTAGGCTCGATTAGGCTCGCGAGCCCACTAAATTATTCATGAGCCGAGCTCGAGCTTCATTTTAAGGCTCGAATCGAGCTCGAGCTCGAGCTCGAGCTTCCTCAAATTAAACGAGCCGAGCTCGAGCTTTGTCAGGCTCGGGCTCGGATCGGCTCGTTTACACCCCTACCGGGGAATCTCGCAGGCAAACATGGGAGAAGGATAGAAATGGAGCAAAGGCAAGTTCGGTCCTCCGGGTTTCGGGTTCGATCATGCGAAGTTCGGTCTGAGCGAGTTCGACTCCATTCTTTTGGTTTCGGTTGCTTCTATTTCGGTTCCCTCTCTCGGTTTCGGCTTCGGTTCTTAGGTTATTAGGGGCTTCGCTTCTTAGGGTTTCGACCCTAAGAGGGTTCGCCCTTATAAAGCTGTTTTTCAAGATTTCTTCCCGTTTTGTGCGGTTTTTGGCTAAGTTAAGGGTCGGGATGCCCCCAAATCATTATAAAAAATTAAGGGAGATTATGGGAGAGATTTGAGAGAGAGAGATTGATAAAGAGAGATTGAGAGAAATTTCATTTATGACCTTTTTGAATGTTTAGCTTCGCAACGCAAGGTTCGTACACCCCGTTAAGCTTCGTTATGATGGTTATATCCCCCCGAGGGGTATGGAATAATGTTTTATCAAATAGTTTCATCACTTACCCTGATTAGGGTTTAGAATTTTTGAATGTACGAACTTTCCAAGTGATAACTTCTTATTAAAATAGTGAGTTGTACAATAGTAACATAATGTAAACCCTAACATGCAAGGGCTAGATGAGTTGACCGGTTTGACTTGTTGACTTTATTTGACTTTGACTTTACCATAAGTTGACGGTTGTCACAAGTTCTTACGGCTCGCGATGGAAGCTCTGAGGCCACTCGTCGAGGTTTCCCGCGTGCAACCCGACAAGTTTATACACATCTAACGATTTGGGAAAACCATAACCGACTCGCCAAGCTGCTCTACAGGCTCGCCGAGTCTAAGGCAATCTTCATCAGACTCGTCGATTTGTTCATCCAACTCGTCGAGTCCATGACCATCTTCAAATGACTCGCCGGGTCGACCATGCGACTCGCCGAGTACCTTAAATACCTCATCTATACAAAAGCTTTTTAATTCATGCAAAGGCTCCAAACTCCATATCTAAGCTTCTAGGACATGATTATCACATAAAGTTGCAATCTTTACGTGCATGCATGATGGTATGACCCAAAACAAGATAAAAATAGTGGCTTTAGGCAATGAGATATGTCATAGCTTGACAAATACTGAACTTTATGATAAAGAGAGGCTAAAGGAGCCCAGATCTGAGGTTGAAAACACGAATTAGGGTTTTTGGATTCAAGAGAGGCAGTAAGAGAGGCTAAGGAGAATATGTGATCCTTAAATAGGGTGCCAAAACCCTGGGATTTAGGGTTTCATCTGCCAGCTCCTACTCGTCGAGTTCCTACTTGGACTCGTCGAGTAGATCACTAAACACGTGGACCAACCCGTTGCTACTCGATGAGTAGGGCTACCAACTTGTTGAGTAGACCTTGAAATCAAGAAAGTTCTTATGTAAGTCAATTACCTGAAGATCGGGGCGTTACATCAAAGGTACCAATGTCGGCCCACTAGTTTTGGTTATTGTTAGTAGGATGTCATGGGGGTTGTATCTAGACACGTATGATAGACTAAGGACTCCTGATCTACGCTTGCTTGCCTATTTCTTATTTGATCGTGGCTCTAGAGTAGGATCATTTGTCTGGGTGTCTATCTTGACATGTTGTAGTGATCTGCTATATATATATATATATATATATATATATATATATATATATATATATATATCCTTGTGCAGTAGGATGTAGAAGTAGTGATATGCTGGATAGAGTACCAGTAGGCTGGTACTCTAACTAGCATAGGCTTTCTTGCATGTTCCTTGTTTGGTTGTGGCTCTAGAGTAGGAACATCTGTTCGGGTGTCTATCTCACCTCTGGTTACATATGACTATGCCTTCCTTGGAGATATGCGGTAGCGGAGTAGTGTGCTGTGAGGGGCCTTGTAGGCAGTAATGATCTGTATAACAGGTAGATTGGTAGTTGCATGTACTTATGTGCCTACTTGATTACTTGTTTGTTTATATGTCGACATATTATGGCTGGCGAGGTTGAGGAAGTCCCATTGTGTGTAGTAGGCCAAGATATCAGGTACGGGCCGGTTGTAAGCCGTAGGCACGAAGGCTCTGAAGGAACGGTTGGGTATAGGTAACATGCCAATAAACCCAAGTTAATTCAGTTCGATGATTGTGGACCCAATATGCATAAATTGTATATGTGTTGTTGTATGGGGTATTTTGGGAATAACTCACTAAGCTTTGTACTTACCCAACAATTTATGTTTTCAGGTACCATCGATGATTGTGAGAATGTGAAGGCGTGACTGTACACACTCATCAACAACATTGATGATTCCGCGTCTATTATATTACTTTGATTTTGCAATAAATGTAATTTAGAACGAATGGTATTCTTAACACAAATTTACAATTGTATGAATTGACCTTAATAAAAAAAATTGGTTGTGAAAATGGGACGTTACATGGATACTCTTCCTTCTGATTCACTTTTCAAATCTCCACATCACGGGGTTTCAGAATTGGTTGTCCTACTAATTCCTACCCAGACCTCGAATGTTCATCCATCAGAAGAGAAGAGGCACGAAACTTCAAGTAGTAAAATCAAAATGAAAATCAAGAAACCTCATTCCCATTCAAAAGTTAAGGCCACAAAGAGATCCAAAACTGATGGTTCCTCTTAAAAGGAGTCATAGATCGGTGTTCGACCTGACTTTGGATCATTAACTACCCCTCCCACTTATTCGTTTGAAGTACCCTTCGACGTCTCAAAACCAATTACACACAAGGAGTTGGCACATGATCTACCCCCACCCTCCCAACAAGGTGGTGTCGATATTGAACATAGTTCCTTGCAGCTCCCTTGGAACACACTCACGAGTCGTTATCAAACAATTTCCTTTTCCATAAGCACTGTGTATGGCCTCTGCTGTAAATCCCCAACAATCTGAACTTGTAACTGTCCATCCCACTTCAGATGTCACAACCGAACTGATATCCTCCATGGATAAAGGGTGTTCGGGCAGTAATAATGTTTCATGGGATTCTCTTGTTCATAGGCCTCAATCTCTCTATCTGAAAAAATCTATAGTCGACATCACAAATTTTCTTCTTGGAAAGAGGCTTCGTGCAACTGCAGATTTCCGAGATACTTCAAATTTTTGAGCGGTGATGTTGACTCCATTCTTGACGATGCAAACCAGAAGTTCGCAATTCAGACCTCCGATGATGTTCCCAAGCGCTTGGATGATCCATCTGCCGATGCAGTCAAGAAACCAAGTGTAGATGTTCCCAAACAAACTCCTATTTCATATGAGCCTCCTCGGAAAGTCAAAGCTAAAGGTGACGTTCCCGACCAACTGCCTATTTCGGATGATCCACCTCATGATGCATAAAAACATTAACCAAAGTTTCAGAGGACCCTCCAATCGATGAAGAAGATGGTGAAGTGTTGGGATAATGTTTGCAGACAATGATATGACAATCACCGGTCTTCCAAAGCCACTCGTGTCGATCAAATTACCTTCATCTTCAAAACCTTAGGTTACATTTTTTGGAAGTATGATAGCGAATCGTATGTGTTAGCCGTTCTATAAAAAAATAGTGCTTTTTATAGAAGATTTTTAAAAAAAAAAAATAGTTTAGATGATAACAAAAAAGAAAATAAGAACGTACCACGAAACAATTTCCCCACTTTACTGTTTCTTTTAAATAATGAAAATTTCCAAATAAATAATTGTCCTATTATTATACATCCAAAATACATGTAAATAAGAAGCAAGACAATGATTTGACTCGTACCGTCAAAATTTATCATTTAATGAGCAAATGTCGGTGAGCTTTCCACAGATCACAGCAAAGCGTCAACCACGGTGGTGTAATTCTAAAGCAAAATAATTCAATTCAGATCGATTCGATTTGTACAACAAACTCTCCATTCCATTTCTCAGCATATTCTTCGCATCGACAGAATCGCGGGAACTCAATTCTGTAACATCTCGCATCTTCTAGGGTTTATTTCGCACCTCATTGCATTGATTCAACCGCTGCCAGTTGAATTCCGGTGGCTACGCCATCAGATCTAAGCCTAATCTATAATATCTTGTTTTCTCAGATCATATAATTCAGGTCAGTCTTAATCTTGTCGTTTACTTGCACTTGATTCATCATGGGAAGCAGCTCGATTTTGATGTGGAAGTGACAAGATCTGAGCTCGACGAAGCACAATTCATATTTGTTTTTGTTATGGACATAGTTTTATGAAATGGATTATCTTGATAAGCAGAGATCTGATTCAATTGAGGCTTAATATAAACTATATTTACCTTGTGAAAGTTGTTATTGGAGTTTCTTAATCATGCCGTGATAATTGAAATGTTTTGGGATGTTCAAACAGTTACATGACATGCGATCTACTGTATCTAATCATGAATTTGTCTTCTGGATTATTTATTAATGCTGTTTATAGCTGGGTGATGAATGCTGATTTGTGTTGGTCTTTGATTTTTCATGTTAGTCCTGACATTTGGAGGAAGGAGAAAGTGAGTGAGGGAGGCTTTGGAATTTGGATGATGAAACAAGGCATGATAGAATGCAGTGTCTGTCATTCTAAGTTGGTGAATCCATCCGCAAAGACAGTCTCACGAGCTTATGATCGACATCGAAGCAAGCTTTCAAAAAAGCATCGTGCACTCAATGTTCTCTTGGTTGTTGGTGACTGCATGTTAGTTGGCTTACAGGTAATTTCTTTAGCAGTGATATACTGATATCCCTCACAAAGCTAGAGAGATTACATATGTTTTCTGTTCATATACTACCTTTTGTAAACTTTGGATTTATATCTTTTTTAGATTATTCCCTAATTCCTAACAGTGGAACATAGATTCCAGTTATGTTGAGAAGGAGGTTGATGGTATAATATAATCTTTTTCTCCTCATTATCCCGGAAGACAAGATAAAGAACGTGTTTCATTAAAGGAAGGAAATGGGAAATGGGAGGAAATGAGATGAAAGCAAGAGAGAATGGTGCTCCCGAGTTTCATTAAAGGAAGGAAGTGGAAGGAAAACTTTCCCTCCTATCTTTCCTCCCGATTTGGGAGGATTTGAAAAGAAAGAACAAAATGTTTAACTTTCCTTCCATTTCTCTCCAACTCGGGAGCACAAATGACAATTTCTTTTTCCTTCCTTTTCTCTTCTTTTCTCTCCTTACTTTCTTTTCTCTTCTCTTCTTTTCTTTGCTATAACTCGGGAGCAGGGATAATATTTAGGTATAGTTAGTAGTGTAGTGTTTCACTTTCACATAACATAAACAACTCTTGAAACTCCATGAATCATTGACTGGATAATATTTAGGTATAGTTAGTAGTGTAGTGTTTCACTTTCCATGTTACATAAGTTATCAATAGCTCACTAAATTCATCATCTTTTACAGCCGATTTTGGTGTACATGTCCAAAGTTGATGGGAAGTTCAATTTTAGCCCCATCAGTGTTAACTTTCTGACAGAAGTTGCAAAGGTTGTCTTTGCACTTGTCATGCTTCTAATTCAGGTATGTTCTTCTTAATTTTATTATATCTGTGATCTGTCTTCTGCTTTATGTTCTTGAGAACTTTTGTGTGACCTAAGCTTATCTTCCATCTGTTTCCACCTAAATATATGATGTTAATTTGTTGGCTTGGTTACTAGGGATTTTGCTCTCATTATTTGCATGTTAATCTTAATTGATTTTTAAGTTCTAAACTAAATTGCTAAATTCTTTGTTAATTTTCAGGCTAGAAATCAGAAGATTGGAGAGAAGCCACTTCTTTCTGTATCCAGCTTTGTACAGGTAATGTTGCCAAATTTTCAGTTTTGAGTCAACATATTATGCCATGATTATTAGGCTTCTTCCAACAACATATGCTACACAAAGCACTCAATTGTATTCTTAATGATTCCAAATTCTACTTTATGCTAAAAACATATACTATATCTTATAACCTATGGGATAAGTTCATTTTTCATAAAGCAGCAACAAAGCTCATATCTTCATGTCTGCCATGGTTTTTCTTCAGGCAGCTCGCAACAATGTGCTTCTTGCTGTTCCAGCATTCCTCTATGCTATCAATAACTACCTGAAGTTCACCATGCAGGTGATTTATAATTTATATTTTCTTGATTCCTTTTAGCCCCTGGTGTGTTTTCTTTATCTCATTTCATCATGGAATGGATTAGGAAGTGTAATATTTATACATAACCCATTTTTATTTATAAAATTTACACAATCTTTTCTAAGAATCTCATGATTTTAATTAAGTTATAGTGTTATCTGACCTTGATAAATCTTGTGCAGCTTTATTTTAATCCTGCAACTGTAAAGATGCTAAGCAATTTGAAGGTGATTTATATGTCTCATTGTTCTTAGTATGTTATTCAGAACATATTTTTGATACACACATTGTTGAACCCTAATATCATCTGAAATTTACAGGTCTTGGTAATTGCAGTTCTCTTAAAAATGGTGATGAAGCGTAAATTTTCAATAATTCAGGTTTGTTATGAGGTTCCAAAGTTATTCTTATTATTATTATTATTTTTTATTATTATCATAAACTGGTAAAAATATGAAACAATGTTTTGCATAAATATGCATTTATGGAATAAAAACAAGTTTGTTGCATAAAAAATATAAAATGTTGTTGGTTTTTACTTTTTATATTTTTGTTTCAGTGGGAGGCTCTTGCTTTATTGCTTATTGGAATTAGCATAAATCAAATGCGTTCTTTACCTGAGGGATCTACAGCAATGGGTCTTCCAGTTGCAATGGGTGCATATGTCTATACATTCATCTTTGTAAGTTTCTTTATTTTTCTTAAAATAAAGTTTTCCTCTCATTTTATTTCTCAATAATAAATCAAATGAATAAATTAAACTCACTCTCAATGACTTCAATATACAAGGTAACTGTTCCATCTATGGCTTCAGTCTTCAATGAATATGCACTCAAGAGTCAATACGACACTAGCATCTACATGCAGGTGATTTTAATTATTCAATATTCCATCAATACTAAAAACACTACCAAGAATCAGTCTTTTTTTTTTCTTCTGACCATTTTACCCTTTCACTATAAATTTTCAGAATTTGTTTTTATATGGATACGGTGCCATTTTCAACTTCCTAGGCATCCTTGGAACTGTCATTATTAAAGGTATATACTAAGTTACTCCCCTGACCATTTTACCCTTTTACTTTTTTTTTTTTTTTTAATTATGTTAATCATTCACAGAAAACCCTTATTTCCATGTGATTATGTTTTTCAGGTCCTGAAAGCTTTGATATTTTACAAGGACATTCAAAAGCTACGATGCTTTTAATTGTGAACAATGCAGCTCAAGGAATTTTATCCTCTTTTTTCTTCAAATATGCTGGTAAGATCATTACAACCATAGTTAAATTTTTTTTTTTAAAAAAAAAAATTATATTTTAATATCTCTTGTTTATGACATGCAGACACAATTTTGAAAAAGTATTCATCAACAGTTGCTACAATCTTCACTGGCTTTGCATCTGCAGCTTTATTTGGTCACACTCTCACTATAAATTTTATGCTTGGAATTTCCATTGTTTTCATCTCAATGCATCAGGTATATCATATATGGATTCAACACTTTTTCTCCACTAATAATTACATTACATATATAACTTGTAATGTCATTTTTACCCTTGGCTTCTTCTCCTTTTTTTCTCCAGTTCTTTTCGCCTCTTGCTAAAGTTAAGGAAGATGAAAATGGAGTATTGGAGTTGGAGCCAGTTCAAAGCAATCATAGGGACGCTTTCGTAAATATCGCAGCAGGTGCTAACGAAGAGGTAAAATGATTTTTATATATTTTTTAATTTTTAAAAGGTTAATATTATTATATTGTAGGCAATAAGACACGTGTTATTTTGTGTTTCTTTCTACTTTTCAGGCTACTCATCGTGTAGAAGCTGATGAAAGAAGGCCTCTGCTTCCTACTTGAAATGGCAACAAAGTAAGTTTCTGAATAATATAATTTTTTGTGTTAATTAGTTAAGTTATAAAATACAAGGAAAAAACATTTTGACTTGTTATTTGGACATGGTTCAGGGTTTCTTCTTTGAAGTGTTTTGTGGGACCCAGGTGAAGAAGAAGGAAAAAAGAAAAGGATACTTTACAATGATGATGATGATGATTGTGGATATGGTTGAAAAAGTATACTCAAGTTTAGATAGAACTTTAATATCATTGTATACAAACAACATGTTAAGAAGATAAAAAAAAAATCGGGAATTTTTATTTGTGTATTGTTTTTACCTTTACCTTTACCTTTACCTACCTTAGAGAAAGACCACTCATCCAACATTCAAATTCACCACTTTTTTGGTTGTGTGCAAGTGTAAATCTAGGAGAATTTTTGCTGTGTTTTATTCCTTGTAATATTTGGCTTCAAGAGCATTATTATTACTTGTAATCTCCTCAAATTCGTTTTTTGAGTTTTGTTTTATCAACATATATATGAACTTAATGTCTATTACATCTTTGCTTTTTTTTTTTTTTTTTTTGGATTGTTGGTTTTGGCTTTTGTTATGAACAAATCATCGATTCTACAACAAGTTTTTGATTGAGAATATGCAAGATATTATTTACAGTAGAATTAGGTTTTGTTATATATAAGAGTGCACTTTTGGTTTTGTGAAAATGAATATACAAAAGAGGATTTTTAGATGTTTTAACAACTCTACATGCATGAAAATGAATATGTAAAAAAGTTAAGATAACAAATTTGTAAAAAACATGCATAGGCACATGGAAGATTAAACAAGCCTAGAAATATGCAAAGTCCATGTGTGGTGTGGATTATACAAAGTCGTTTCATCGCGTTAACATGTACGTGATTAACCTAATATATTTGTAGTAACATGTACTTTCATAAAATACAATTTCATCATCTATCATAATCATCAAATCATAATTCATACAATACCACCTAAGTTTAAACTTAAAACAAAAACCCACACAACTTGCCAAACAGAAAAGCAGTTTTTTTTTTTTTTTTTTAAATAAAAGTTTAAATTCGAACAAAAAAATAAAAAACCTTTGGATATTTTATGTAATCCACCTAACACAAAATAAAAATATTTGAATTTGAATTTTCTATCAAGAACCAAATTCTGAGAAATTTACTATAAAAATAATATATTTATATTCATGACGTATAATAATCCAATTTGTTATTTTTTAATAATGATCTTTTTTCTTTGTCTTGATGAAGCAAAATGGTTGTTTCTGGTGTTTTTCCATGAACATTACTTCCGCTCATAAAAGTCATAAACCCTAACTTCTGTTTCCCGATCGATACGCATCAGGTGCTAACTTCCTCTGTGAATTCGTTAATGTTTTCGCATTTCTGTTCGTATACGCTCTCTTTGTATGATTATCTGTGTTCATATGCGCTCTTTATGTGATCTTTTCAAATCCCCTTTCGGTAATTACTGATTGCCTTTGTGGAATTTGATTTGACTTGTGTAACGCATAGAGGAGTGATGAAAAAACAGGCTAATCGAAATCGAAGGGAATGATTTTATATATCTCTTATGTTAGATGATGGCCACGGCCGTTTTGTATTACGTTCAAAGTTTATGGCCGTTTGCAACGTTCAGAAACGATGATTTGCGGTTATCTGATCGGTTAGTGAAGGGACTGGAGTTACCCGATGAGACAAAACGGTTTGTGTTTGCAATTCGGGAACCAGAATCAGAGGCAGTGATATATATACTCTGTGTTCAGAATCTATCTGAAAGATCAGCCATAGATGTTGAACGCCTTGTTAGATGCGTTAAGCCAGGAGCAGTTGTGGCTCAAGTGAACGAGATTGATTTTGAAGATGTTCAGTTGTTAAGTGATGATGGTGGTGATAGTGAACATCCGATTCCCACTTCTTCATTGGAAGTACTTAAGAGGTGTTTTCTTCATAAGATTGGTAAAGATACATATGAAAATGTGGCTGGGAATTTGGTCTTGAAGGAGATCTTTGGCGTTGGCTTCAATGGCCATTTTTCAACTGCAAAGAGAATAGCTGAAGAAGTCGGTTCTTCATTTCTGCTGCTTGAGTCTCCTTTTGTGCAATTGGAAAGGGATAACAACAATTCCTCAAGTGAAGTCGAATCAGGTAATAATTTTCAAGGTTTTGGTTTACAGCCTAGTAACTTGATGCCACAAAGAATGGGTTCCATCATTCCATCAAGTTCAAGTAAATATCTCATTTCAGATGATCACATTCGTTCCCAAACATTGAAGTTATTATCCTCTCATTTACTTCAATTAAACCCTAATCAAAATCCAAGTCCTATAAACATTCAGCCAAAAGACGATTACGAGGCCCCACAGTATGCACGTTCTGTATACCCCTTACTTCAAGATTTACACAACATATTTCTTGAAATACCCTCAATTGGACGTTCTCTAGCTTATGCACAAAAGATGCTTCATGATGTAAGCAAAGGTGAGGGCATTGACACCAAACTCCTCTCAGAAGTATACACATTTCGAATTGCAGTTGAAGGCTTAAGAATTGCTCTAAACAATGCTGGTAGAATGCCAATAAACAAAACAGGAAACCATCAAACACCCAAAACCAAAACAGATTTTTCCACTCTCCCAGATGAAGAAAAATCACACGCTCTTCTTGCAAATGCACTTCGTAGTCAAACAAAGAATTTCAACTCCATAGTGGCAATCTTGGATGCCAGCACATTATCCGGTTTAAGAAAACACTGGAACACAGAAGTCCCTCAAGAAATCGAAGACACCATTGAAGAACTTGTTGCAGAGTCAACAAAAGATGGAGAAACAACAAATCATGACAAAAAAAGAAGATTAACAAACAAACCAGTAGTAGCTGTAGGAGCAGGAGCAACAGCAGTGTTAGGAGCTTCATCTCTTTCTAAAGTTGTCCCAGCTTCAACTTTTATAAAAGTTGTCACCTTTAAAGTTCCTGCATCTCTAAAACTCATAATGACACAGACCCAAAAGCTTGTTTCCATTTCAATCAGCAAGATTCTTGGTCCTTCAAAAGTTATTGCTCCTAGTTTCTTCAATTCTGGAGTAAACACTACATCTTCCATGAAAGCAGCTGCTTCTGCTGAGAAGATAAGAACTGTGGTTCACAGTGTGATAGCATCTGCTGAAAAGACGAGTCTTTCAGCAATGAGAACAGCTTTTTATGAGATTATGAGGAAAAGACGAGTTCGCCCTATTGGTGTGCTTCCATGGGCTACATTTGGATGCAGTGTGGCTACATGTTCAAGTTTACTTGTATATGGTGATGGAATTGAATGTGCTGTTGAATCTCTTCCTTCAGCTCCTTCAATTGCTAGTTTGGGTCGTGGGATTGAAAGCTTGCATCAAGCATCACAAGCTGTAGAACAAATGGAAAGCTTCAGGATACAAAAATCTATCGAGTCGCTTGTCAACAGGTTTAAAAAATGGAATCTTGCCTCATGAAGTAAGATTTTGTACTTGTTTTTATGCATTCTTATAGAACAAAGTTTGGTGATTTCTAGTGTAGATTGGAGGTGATAAATTGATAATAGAATGTGCTTTGTTTTGATAATATGATATCTTTTGTACATTGCTTGAGTTTTTTGGCTTATGAATATTTATTTTAGTAATGTGTTGGACTTTACTTGAGAGATCAACTCATAAATAAAATAACATGTTAAGAATTTCTCATCTGACACTTTGATGGAAACTTATCAATGTATGAAAATGTAATTTTTGGTTTTCTTTACATGACATGATGAAAAAAGTTACAAGTAAAAATGTAAAGAAGAAGAAAATCAGTATGTGCTATGTATTTTGTACTTATGTCAATGTGCAGGGGCAAAAGTGGAAATCCATCTCATTTTTCGGAACTATAATTTATAGGTAATATATTTAAATAATAATACAAACTTTTGTTATGCCATATTATATGATACTTAATCAGTTACTCTTCTTTTTGGTTAGGCTATGAAGAATTATGTTTTGGTGGAGAATGCATATGTTTTTCAGCTTTTGAGATTGCCAAAAGACAAGAGAAGATCTGTAGTTAAATAGTCAAATGAACTCAGGTTTTTCTCTAACTTTCTAAATTACAAATTTGCAAAATGTTGTGTATATTAGCTTCTTTAGTAATTGCTTAATTGTGTTTTGGTGCTACATATGCTTTTGGGAATCATTCCAATTTTTTTATTTTAATTGTCCTAAACCAAACATACTTGAATCAAACACCAACTAACTTTTTTTGAATAAAGTAATGATTTAGGAAATTGAGCACTTGGATGCCCTTAAATATCAAAACAGAAAAGAATTGACCAAATTGCCCCTGACTCTTGAATCCAATCACGTGTGTATATACAGGCTCCTAATTCCCCATTTATGTACTTTTTAATGAAGTTATCATACATTGTGACCTTACAATCTATGTTTCCACTTTCATGCTGTTGCCACTTTTTAACACAAGATTCTTGTTAACAATTAATGTAATCAATTGAAAAGTTGAAAAAAATAAAATATTTTCAGAAAAGAATTGATACCAATATTGTTACATGCTTTATTTCAAATTAAGAAAGATCCCACACCAACCACCAAACACAATTACACACAAAAGAAAAAATCACACAAACACGCACACACACACACACTAAATTGAGTAGTAGATTACATTTTATACCAAACAAATGTGCTCTAACTCTATAATATGATCCTTGTTGGGTTTCACTGCAAATGTTACACTTGAATTTCTAACATCCTCCTGCTCCAACAAGTTTTTCCAGCTTTGTTACATAGTCCCACAATGGAGGTTGGTCTATCGTTGATGATGATCCTTGTGACGGTGTTTCTTGTTCTTGAGAAGCCATTAAAATCGGTATTTGATTTCTTAATTGGTGAATGGTTTTCTGTTTCGTAATCACTGTGATCGTTTATTCTTCTGTTTGGTGATCTTCGTGATCGGATTTGGCGAGGCAGTAGACAGAGTTGAGAGTCGATCGGCTTAGGCTTGTAGGTCAATAAGTTATGAGTTGATTAATATAGTCCATTAGACTTTGTTGGACCGAAAAAGCCCATGCAAAACCTAAAAAAATGGAAACTTGGCAGAAACTGCAAAGAAACGTTTCGTGTTTATCAGATACGTCATGGAAACGTTTCCATGGCGTTTCCGTTTCCACGGCGTATCGGATATGGGAACGGCGACCAAATTGAAGTTTCCGTGCTTCATAGTATATTTGTCCATTCATTATTTTTTAAGGGGATGGATAAATATTTTTAGTTTTCGTCCATCTACATAAAACTTCATGTCTTTCTTAAATGGAATATATATAACTTTTATCATCTCAAATGATCAAGAGACTAAAAATATGACAATAATATTTTATAGATCATAACCGTTTCATATTTTTAGTCTATTTAGATGATGATAATTATTTGTTATAAATATGTAAAAATAATCATATTCGGCGATGAAAATTATTTTTGCTATAAACTAGGGAAGAATCCTGCTTTTGCAGGAATAAAATCAAGCCAAAACCATCATTTGAGTTCCATATCTATACAACCATAAATAATTTCTTTGTAATACTTATGCATACATTTAACCAATTCATCCCAAAAATCAGACAGGGGCAAAGTAATTTATGCATATATTTACTCAATTGATGATTGGATTTGAAGGAAAAGACAAAATCTATTCTATCATTGGTGGAATTTTTTTTTGATGGGTTTGCTTTTTATATTTTTTTTTCTCCTTTTGCATTCTTTGGTTTCCACGTGCTAAACAGAGCCAGCATATACGTGTTGCTCTCTTCTTCTATCTTTTAAGGTAAAGAATAAAATGTACCCATGAAGGAAACGTATGCTCAATTTAAAAATCTTAATTTTTTTTTTGTTTAGTTCTGGATAAAAACCAAATTTCATACCAATGTGTAAAGTGATATTATACTTTTTTTCTTTTTACCAATGCTCAATTTAGGATAATCTATGTCTGAGAAGCAAAACAAATCACTTTCTCCATACAAAATTAAAAATGGGACAATTATTGATTTTAAATAATATAAAAGATAAAAAAAAGGGAAATATAGTTTTTTTTTTTACCTGAACAGCTTCATTAGCAGCTTACACAGAAAGATATAAAGAATGATTACAGAGAAGTGAGAAAAAACAGAGACAACACACTAATTTATTATTAAATCTTACCTGAAACGAAAGTTACAAAGAAGAAAAAGTTTGAATTACGGATTGTCTCTATTTCGTGCTTTGAATCCCCGTGAATGTTCTCCACGCAGAAATCGGAGCCCACAATCGATTAGCCCCATCTTTGATATCCCATCTCACTCAAAGCCAAAGCATCCATAGAAGGTCGCGGATATCCGGGTCCATTTGTGGTTACCCGACCCGGCGACTGCAAATTCCTGGATTTGATCCCAAAATCACAAGGAAATTGTTACTTCTGAAAGTCGTGAAGAATTTCTTCGTGTCAAGAACTGAGTTTGGTGATGATTATGCATCAGAAAGGGTTTTTGCCATGAAGACATTGAATAGCCTTTGAGAACCAAAAAAATATGAAATCGGGTCGGACGGAGGTGACAAATTGGCGCCTGACACCAAGACCACTCAGAATTTCGAATCAATAGTTGTAGATGTATGGAGATGATGATCGACAACGATCACAGAGTTACCGACTTCATTGGAGACGATCGGTAGGGGCCCTTGTTTGTAGAGGTGGAAGGTTCAGGTTCCACCTCGCGGGGAGATGATTGAAGAACCTTGAACCCGTCAAAGAGGATGAGAAGGAGAACTGGAGTCGATAAGGAAAGACTGATTTGACCCTACGAAGCCATTAGCAAGGAAAAAGTTGGGTGATGCTGATGCCTCGGTTACCGCCGAATGACGTTGATGAGTCTGCCGGTGGGGCGAAAGCCAGATGCCGGTGGAACAGAGTAAATCGAAGTAGATAGGGAATAGAAGAGAAACACATGGAGACCGATCATAATTTTCATATTTAATTATTAGTAATATTAATAACAATCCAATTAATTCGTTTGTAATGTATGTTTTAATGTCTAATTAAACTGTTACACAATCTTTTCTATTTTAGGTTGTTTAATTAAAAATATACTTTTTTTTAACAAAATCCGATTATAATTTACATATTTAATTATTAGTAATATTATTACAATCCAACTAATTAATTTGTAATGAATGTTTTAATGCCTAATTAAATTCCATTTCTTCTTACCTAGTTTTACAGTATATATATCCGATAGCGGAATAGTTTTTCACACAACGTCCGAGTAAAAGTAGTTACTAAATGGATTCATTTCTACTTTCAATAAGCGCCTTGTGTGTTTTTATAATTTATTTAAGTTCTCTAGCAGGTGATGTGTTCATCGATCTTCATAATATATATATTTTTAAATCATTAAATACCATTTATGTTTGTAAATATGATTTCGATTTCTTTTAATTCCCAGATGGAAGTGGTATTGGAATTAACTACGGATTATTGGGAGACAACCTCCCTCCTCCAGACCAAGTCACAACCCTCTTAAAGTCAAGAAACATATCACAAATTCGTATCTTTAGCCCTGACCACAACGTTCTTAACGCTCTACAAAACTCCGGAATTCAAGTGATCATTGGAACCTTCAATCAAGAAGTAGGTACTCTTGCAGGAGATATCAACTTTGCAAAAGCATGGGTACAAACCAACATTGTCCCGTACGTACAAACAATCAAATTCCGTTGCATATCCATTGGTAATGAAGTCATCCCAGGTGATATGAATTCTTTAGTGTTCCCGGCGATGCAAAATATGAATGCAGCTTTACAATTCTTTAGTCTTTTTCAAATTCCGGTGAGTACAACTGTCGGGATTAATGCACTAGCAAGTTCATCTCCTCCTTCAACTGGAGATTTTTCAGGTGATGTCAAGCCTGCAATCGAACAGATCGCATGTTTCTTAGCTAACAACGGTTTCCCACTTTTGATCACTGCATACCCTTACTTTTCTTACATCCACGAACCAAGTTTAATTCAATTACCGTTCGTGTTATTCACCTCTCCTGATATTGTAGTGAGAGATGGAAATCTGGGGTACAAGAATATGTTCGATGCCATGGTTGATGCGGTTTACTCCGCATTGGAAAAGGTTGGTGCAAGTGGTGTTGAGGTGGTGATTTGTGAGAGTGGGTGGCCGTCACAAGGGAATGGTGATTTCACAACAACTGAACTGGCTCAGACCTATAATCAGAATCTTTTGAACCACGTGCGTGGTTCTGGTACTCCTAAGAAGCCCGACAAGAATGTGGAGACATATGTTTTTGCACTTTTTAACGAGAACCAAAAGGATCCAGGGGTCGAACAACATTTTGGCTTGTTCAATCCAGACATGACTGAAGTGTATCATGTTGATTTTTAAGTAGATATAGCAATTGATCAATAATGTAACTTTATTATTGTGTGAAGAATTGTAATTGAAAAGGGAATTGTAGTTCATGAATTACAATCTATTATGGGGGTGTTTCTATGGTTTTCTATATCGTTTTTTTTTTCAATTTTGTTTTTGAACTCACGAAGAATATTAAATCGGGAATAATTTAAAAGTTTAAAAGTTATGACTTATTGAACAAATAAAACTAATAGACGAAAATTATAGGTTTAGTGGACAAACAGTATGTAAAATACTCAAAACCAAACCTTATTTTTTACCAATACCAATCACAATATCTACCAAAACAAAAATCACCAACAAAAATTCCAAGATAATGCAAAACATTAAAAGTACCCTATAAACTAGAGGTGAACAAAACCGCACCGCAACTAAAATTAACCGCAAAAAGCGTATAAACTACAACCGCAATAAAAACCGATGGTGAGGTTTTCTGTTTTTCAAAAACCGCAAATTTACGGTGCGATGTGGTTATTAGTTTTCAAAAACCGCACCGCACCGCATATATTATATACAACTTTTTTTTTTTTTATTAATTATTAATATATTAAATATTAAAAATAAGACAAGTTTCATGAATGAAAGATGAATAAAATACTAGAAGACAAAAATATGGTTTTTTGTTATGTTTAACTTTTAAAAATGATAAAATTAGACAATTTTAAGAAATTTATTGTTAATTACTATTGATTTGATGTTTTTAAGATATTAATTGTTTGTGATTTAAGTTAATTGTCTTATATATTTATGGTTTTTTATTATTATTACAAGTAATATGTTTGAACTCTTAAAATCGTTTGAGCTTTAAACTGTAGTTAAAAAGCACACAAAATAACCGCACCAAATCAATGCGGTTAATAACCGCAACACAGAAAAAACAGAACCGCACCGCAAAAATAACCGCACCAAGCGGTTTTGAAAATGGATTAAACGCATTTGCGGTTAGTGGTGAGGGTTTGGCTAATAACCGCACCGAACCGCACCGCGCTCACCCCTACTATATACATAATATTCGTAAACAAAAAAACGAAATCAGTCTTCATAAACAACCTTACAACACCCAGAAGAAAAAATCACACAGACACACACTAAATTGAGTAGTAGACTACCATTTCTCATAAAACTAATGCACATATAACAGGCACATAAGGCATCCTTCCTAGATCCTTAATCCTAATCTAGCATGAAGTTCTCATAAAGCTGGTACACATAACAGACACATAAGGCATCCTTCCTAGATCCAAAGTCCTAATCTAGCATGCAGTTCTCATAAAGATGGTAATGATTGTTGGATTAATGTCTAAGCCCGTAACTATATTTGGTAATTACTTGACCCGGTTGTGCATGGTCCTTTTGGGTTGCCTCCACTAAATCAACTTGATAGGATGATTTATGGAGAAAGAGGATTAATTATGATTTATTAATATATTATATGAATAATATATTAAAGGATAAATCATATTGTTTAATTAATATTAGTTAAGAATTAATTAAGAATTAGTTTTTGTGACTAAAAGACATTAATTAAACTTAGGGGACTGGAATTGTAATTATATGATAGTTGCAATTGGGCTATGGATCACCTTGGAACATAGGTTGGACGAATTCTAAGGGAAGCCCATAAGGAATTTGTCCAAGGGTTGTTCTAAAGGGAGTCCATGGGCTGCTTAGGGCCTAAGCAGTCAAATTAGGGTTTCCTAGCTGATAACCCTAATTGTCTCACTATATAAGGACCCCTATAGCCCCAAAAACATGTGGAACTCTTTTGGAAGAACCCTAAAAAGTTTTTGGTGATCCTCCTCTTTCTCATAAGTCATTCTCTTGCTCTTAGTGTTTGTAAACCATTAGAGGAGTGACACTTGTGACTCTAAGCTCCAAAGACAAGAAGATTCAAGCCATTCCACATGAGGTAATCATCTAGATCTGCACTTATGTGATAATTTTGAAATGCATATGCTAGATTAGGGTTCTTGAGTCTTGGATGAATTGCATGTACAATAGAGAAACCTAAATCCAAGCATTAGGGTTTGTATGAGCATATAGGATGTTCTTATGTATAAAACTCATCAGTGGTATCAGAGCCTTGATTGGTTTTTGTTGTATGTGATGCAATGCTCGTTTATCTGCTGAAAATCGAATTTCTGGCCTCTGCCCGACCCGACTCGGCGAGTCAGTATCTGGACTCGGCGTCAGCCCAACTCGGCGAGTCCAAGCAAGGACTCAGTGAGTCCGGGAGTCAGGCGGAGGATAATTTCGGATTTTTTTTCCTATTTTGACATAGGATAATTGCCATAATTGTTTCAAATTAATAAAATACGAATTTTATTGATTCCTTATGATTATCTTTGTCAAAATAAAAGATTTTGGTCATCTAATTAGATAGTTGTTACCTTGTTTGATAAAAGTTAATTATTAAAATTATTTTGTGAATTATCTAGAAAATAAAATTGATTAGGTCAAATATAGATAATCATTAAATTAATTGTTTAATTTTGAATTATTTGCTATTTGATCCTTATGTTTTGAAAAGTTCAAAAACTTGCCCTCAAGTTTTGGAATTTAAATTTTTGATTAAAAGGTTTAATTTTGAAATATTTAAATTCTAAACCCTAATGATTTGAAATGTTTCAAAACTTGCCCTCAAGTTTTGGAATTTAAATTTTAATTAAAAGTTCAATTTTAAAATGTTAAATTCTAAAACCCTAATTTTTGAAAAAGTTTAAATTGCACCCTTATGATTTTATTAAATTAATTAAGTGTATAATTAAAAGAGAGTTAATAAATTCATAGTGATATAAAGGTTTACATTTGATTAAATTAAAAGTGTAACTTATTAAATTAGACCACCTAGTATTTTAAAAGTGTAAAATACACCCTTATACTATTTATAACATTAAAAGTCTAATATTATATATGTGTAACTTAAATGCTAGTATTACCGTTAGTATGTCTCATTCATGAAGCCGGTCTATAAGGGGGTATAAGGTTATGGCCTATAAAATGCTCCTTTAATGGGTGTCCACTCTCACCCACCGCTTCCTTGATTGGTGGAAGGTCGTTAGCCGAACGGGTAGGATAAGGCAAACCCTTTCCATTAAAAGTATAATGAATTATGAAGTAACTAAATGTTTTATAAAATTCTCAATCTTAGTTACTTTAGGCAAAAGTGAATTTGATGCAATTCCATGAAATTACACTTTGTACCCTTGCGAAGACGTTAGTGGAGCATGTGTGGTTAACCGGCACACTAAATGGGTTCTAAGCAAAGGTTGCGAAGGGTGACTCGATGTTTGTCATAGTTCGGTGGAGCGTGTGTGGTTAACTAGCACATCGAATAGGTGACTGTAACATTGGGGGCACCATGTAAGTTTGCATGGTTATTCACAGCCTGTTTTGTGACCTCGGCATCCCAGTCACAAATTGAGGGGCATATCGAGATTTAAACATGTCATTAAAAAGTTCAATGAATCTCAAAGGATCTAGGAGTTTTCAATACATTTAAAGCTTAATCTCTTTTTCGTTTTTCATGGTGGAAAATTAGTGAATCGTCATTCACTTACCTTCAAATGTTCTGCAATTTGGGTTACGACATCCCTCTCCCAAGTTGTAGAGTGTTGTGTTGGGTCCTAGCCTTAATATCTCATTTGGGTGATTTATTAAGGACTCGATCAATCAACTAACTTGAATTTTCTCCCATTTTGTAGATGTCAAAGTATGACAACTATGGTCTTCCCAAAACCTATGGAACAAGCTTTCCACATGAAGATGATATTCCATGATTCGATCGAAGAACACGAGATCATGTTTCACTTCCTCCACCTCCTCCTATTGTTCTCCCTAAAACACAAGCTCAAAGGCTTGAAAAATTCAAGCTCACTTAAGCCCTTTTGGCATGTAAACATGAAGAAGGAAAGTCATTGTGTGCACACGTCTTAGAGATGAAGTCACACATTGATAGGTTAAGAATGTTGGGAATCGTTGTCTGTGAGAAGCTGGTTGTTGACTGGGTTCTTCAGTCGCTTCCTGACTCGTATAGTGAGTTCGTAAGAGAGTACTATATGATAGACCACGACGTGACCCTCATCGATCTCACCTATTTGCTTGTTGCTGTTGAATCAACAATGATTTGGCGCACTGGAGAAGCAAAGTTGATTGGTAGATCTGCCTTCCAAACCTCTATGGACATAGGTTATGGCAACGAAAGGCATGCCATGGTCGAAAAGTTTGATCATAAGAAAAAGGCAAAGTCTGAAGTAGTTCCGTATGCTGTTCCAAAAGAGTCAATTTACTTTTATTTCCAAGAGAAGGGGAATTGGAGATGAAGCTGCCCTGTCTACCTGAGAGATGTAAGAGATGGGAGAGTCTAAACGTTTGAATCTGCTTCAGGTAAAATCCATTAACTAACTCTATAAGTTCTTATTTTTGATTCTTGATACATTATGTGATAAGATTACATTTTTGAAGTTTTGTAGAATCGAAGAAAAGAAAATAAGCTTAAAGGAATAAGTGAGTTGAGTCTGATCACGAAGAAATGGATCACGATCGCATGGATTCGAAGATCAGATTTTGAGCTTAGGAAGTTATGATAGATTTGTTAGGAATATTTGATTACATAGTTTTTCAGTTGATTTTGCTTTGTAAGAACGTGTTTTCCGCTGCTTTCATGAATAAATTTTTTGGTTTGTCTTATATATATATATATATATATATATATATATATATATATATATATATATATATATATATATATATATATATATATATATATATTGTAACGATGTAAATTTTAAAACCAATTTTTCATTTTTATAAACATCAAAAACATCGATTAATATTTCAAATTCAAACGTGAACAATACTATCACAACAAAATACATCCTAATGATCATAAAATAGTTTTTCCCCGACAATGTGAACGATCACGCCGGCGCCTTCCCACGGTCCTCGCTAGTACCTGAAACACATAACACAACGACTGTAAGCATAAATGCTTAGTGAGTTCCCCAAAATACAACTTACGCACATACGCCTTTCCAGGCCCTGACCTTCCGGTCCATGTGTCTCAGGGGA